ATCATATAACAAGTTGCGCTGTTTAGGTATCTCGAATTTATATTTTGAAGTGACAGGAATGCCGCACATAGGATTTAGACTAGGTGGACAAAGCAGAGATTGGAGAAATGCTTCAAGTGTAATTAATGATTGTAATCTGCATATCAAACTCAATGGAAAATTCTATTGGACGCCTATAAGACTAGATTGCTTGATAGCAATGAATTTTGCAGTGACCATAGAAAAATGGATCATGGGGCTGTATGGCTCCTAAAGCCAAAAGAATTTGAATTCATTTTCTTCCTTTGTTTCGTTAGACCATAAAGTTAAAAAAGAAAGAGAAATAAATAACATAAACCGTTAGATGACTGCTTTAATGTTGTGGTCCTTATTTCTAGTAGATCTGTAAATATATGTTTAGCAAGCAGAATTATGCTTTTTGTTACTTAAAATTTTAGTGACAATAGTCCAGGATTTATATCCTAAATGTGAGAATTTTCTTTTTCATCAAGGTGGTTCAAATTAGTGCGATAAGTTTGAAGAAAGGTCCTTGGCCCTTTAGTTTTGTTGAAGCAAGTCAAGCAACTTTAACCATGCTTTGACCCTCACTTAAACATGGCTCAACAGTATGTGCAAGTTAATGCGATACAATTTCCAATTGGCAAAACAGACATCAAACTGACACTTAAGCTGAAGGTCAGCTCCGAAATTATTAGTTGCAATTTTGATATGCTCTTGTCCCATGTTATTTTATCATTGCTTAATGGAGAATGGCAAGAGTTTAATAATATGCTATTGCTTCAGAAATTGGTCTGGTTTAGTTATTTATTTCTTTTGTGATTCTTGTATTTTGGGCAGTTCTCGTTTCTTTCCTAAATAAATGGAGCTCAATGAAGATCCTGGACCAATTGATAATTATGTACTTTATGATCAAGAGAATCATGTTTCTTCAGCAGTTTGGGATGGACATGTATGCCAATATTCCTTTATTTATAATTTATGTTAAATCATAAGAAATTTTCTTGATATTCATATTACTGGATATAATTCATACCAAATCCTCAGGAGCGTGGTGTACTTAGATGCCACGAACACACTTCAATGCTTGATCAGTGGAAGCTCACACCTAAACAGATTAAATTGGTTGAGAAGGCTGGTTTTGGTTACTTACGATCACTTCCTGCTATGAGTCTTGACAATGCACTGATAGCAGCTTTGGTTGAGCGGTGGAGGAGAGAAACAAATACCTTCCACTTCACTGTTGGAGAATTGACAATAACCCTTGAAGATGTATCACTATTACTTGGATTGGCTATTGATGGAGAACCTGTGATAGGACCAATAAGTGCACCAAGTTCAGTTTGTGAAAAATTACTAGGGAGAGTACCAGAGGACCTGAATGGTGGAATGGTGAAGCTTACTTGGCTGAAGGAATTCTTTTCTGAGTGTCCTGAAGATGCATCACTGGAGGAAACTGAGCGCTGTACTCGTGCTTACCTTCTATACCTAGTAGGCAGCACAATATTTTCTACAACAACAGGGAACAAAGTCCCTGTTATGTACCTTTCTCTGTTTGAAGACTTTGATAAGGCTGGGAAGTTCGCTTGGGGTGCAGGAGCATTGGCATTTTTATATAGAGCACTTGGCAATGCATCCCTTAAGTCTCAAAGCACTATTAGTGGCTGTTTAACTCTAGTACAGGTATAACATTACTTCCTTTACTCTTTTTGTTGGTAGTTTCAGTGCTGAATAATGTTTTATTATTATTTGTTAGTGCTGGAGTTATTCTCGCCTCAATGTTGGACAACCAAAATTTAATCAAGAACCTGATAATAATTGCTTTCCCTTTGTACTTAAATGGAAAGGGAAAAGTGGTTCTAGGACGAAATGTAATGTAGTGTCCTACAGAAAGGCTCTGGACTCCCTTAATCCATGTGATGTAAGTGTTAATAATGTGGCTTATTTGATGAATTAGGTAGAAGAAAACAGCAAATCTGAGTTACTAGTGTTGATACACAGGTCCAGTGGCTACCTTACAAGGACATGGAGTGTACAGCCATACCAGAAGATATAAAAGCTAGTCTAATTTTACGGGCATCTAGGACTATGCTATTGTGTTTTGACAAGGCAGAAAGGCACCTTCCTGATCGTTGCTTAAGGCAATTTGGCATGCATCAAACTATCCCAAAAGACGTGGAACGATGGGAAAGGAAGAGTCGTATAGTGGATCATGGGGTAGACCTGATGGGAAAGATGGACTTGGCTCTCAAAGAGTGGTCAGAACGTTGGGTTCATATTGTTGAAGGTGGTGACGTTGCAGATGAGGGTGAGTACATGCAGTGGTATCAGAAGATTACGCGAAAATATATCGGGAGAGTCACATCATCCCTGGAGTCAGAGTATCAAAGAACAGTATGTCTTTGCTTCGTTATCATTATTACGTATCTTTTCCTTGAATGTATGTTTTTTGAATGCTGGACTGCTACATGCTTTTACAGGTTACTGCTATGAGGGAAATTGCAAATATTGCTGATATAGTCTCAGCAGAAGGGTTGGATTCTTATAATAGAGAATTACTTGATGAAGTGAAAAGTATTGTGCACAAATGTTTAACAGAGCAGTTTGAAGAAATGCCAAATGAGAAAGTGAAAAAGAAGGGTAACAGGAAACGAAGGCATAAGGACCACCTGAGTATGGACTACGAATAACACCAGATTAGAGCAGTCCGAAGCTAATTCTGACCTTACCATACTGATATTTATAACTCAAGGTTGGTAAAGGACAAAGGTAGATAATCAATTGGTCAAAGACCAGTTCAAGAATGTATTCTTAGAAGAGGATGGCATATTTATTAACATTAAAAAAGTTGAGACAATTGAGTGCAGATAGTTTGTAAGTATCTACTGTAAAGCTTCATTTGACATTTGATCTTTTTTAGGCATTTATTTGGATCCCCCCTTCTTTTCCTTCTTGTTGATGTATTGTTTGCTCAAGGTTTTAATTAACAGATTAAAAAGCATTCAATTTGTATAGCTTAAGACTAAAATATCTTTATTTATTGTTTTCTAAGTTTCTATACTATTTTTAACTACTCCATATAAAACATTCTACTTTATGATCGTGCCTTTGGTGTGTCAATGACTGAAGGTGTGTTTGAATCTCCCTTTAAAACAACGTTGCACGCCAATCCAGTTATTGCTCAGTCCTGTTGAGTTGCTTTGGAATTTTTGTACCGAAAAAACAAACGCACGCTAAGTGCCTGTTTTGTCTAGCTTCATGACGTGGTTTTTCTCACATCTCTTGAAGCTATTCGAGCTTATTTTTGGAAAGTTGTTCAACATCGTTAAATGTAACTATAATATCAACACACATGAAGTCCTTAGATGCAATATTCATATTTGTCACACAATCCGTGGTTGGGTCGTGTGACCAAATAGACAGTAAACCAGAATGGATCATCAATAAGTTGAAATATTTATCACGTTAAAACTTTCTTATAATAAAAAATTTGCATATATATGGAGTCAAAGATAATCCTCGTACAAGGCATGGATCTTTCTCAAAGTGCAGTTAAAGTGGTGAGGACAAATGGTTAAATACGTTGGTGACAAGTATAACAAAGTCACGGCAACGTTCTTCTCTAATATATTTTTTCTTGATTTATTTTGTCAACTTAAATATAAGATGAAATATAAGATGAACTACATGCATATTATTGTTGCGTTAGTGATATTTCGAGGCATTAATAGAAGAAAGAAAAAAATTGTGATCGTGAACTTTCGTCGTTCTTCCATTTATTCTGCTTAGTTTCAATGTATGTGTGCTTTCTTCATGCTCCAAGCACTTAGTCTTGAGATGTTGACATCAGAAGTGCCATTATTGAAAGCATAAATTTTTGCTTTATCATTGATTGCCAATGTGGGATAAACTCTGGCTGTGATGCAAGCCCTTCCTTCTCCTCCAAAACTCTCTACTACAGAATGATCAATCTGTGGAAGGAAGAAACTCGTGCATTAGTAGGAGCATTAAAGATCATTTGAACAAAACAAAAAAAACTAAGGATGAAAAATCCTTATAGCCATGACTTTTAACATATACACATATTGTTTTATTTATTTATTTATTCTTATTGGTACAAAGTTGACATCGTTGGTAAAAATATTTTTTTTCAATCACATTTTTTCTATTATTAAGATTTGAACTAGCCACTTATTAGTTCCTATTAGTGCTATTAAATCATTTATTTACAATTTTTTTTTGTGTGTGCGCAATTGTTTGTTTACATGCATATAAAATTATTTTTATATTAACTATTTACTATTTTCTGAGAAATATACCTAAATTTTTTTAGTAAGATCATGCACTTGTTAGAAGTTTCATTCGAATGCAACCTTTTTCGAGTCATTACAATCTATAGAATTTTTTTCATTTGAAGAAAGTTTATGCACGTTAATATCTCTTGGCTTCATCAATTGGAACTTACCAAGGTTCTCAATGATAGCTTCTCGTGAAGAGGGTCCACGTCCACAAAAGTTCCATAAGTGGTCAAATCATTGTTTTTGTTTAAGGAAGACCTATCATGCATTTGTAAATCACAAGAGTTGGAACATTGGAAATGGAAATAATCAGAGGAGAAGTTAGACAGTGTTTGGATTAAGTTTATGGAAAATTGGAAATGATTAGAGGACACAAACAAACCTGCTTTGGTCACTGCACAACAGCACCAAATTTTTGTGTTGGTATCTGAATATTCTGAAGAAAACTGATGTGTATTCTTGCAATCCCTCTGAAGCAAAAACTAGAAGACCAAATGGGCCCAGCCCACTTTTAACAGCTGAACCCTTTTTGCTACACAGAATTTGGGGGTCCGTCAAATAGCCCAAGACTTCAGCCTTTCCCAACTTGCTCACTTGAAATGAAATTTCAACGTCAGCCTGCAAAGGACAATTGATTACTCAAATTTTATAACAATTATAGCCTCGGTATTAAGATGGTTTTTGAAGAAAGAAATATTTATTATACTAAAAATATAGAAGTATAATAAGTATCTGTTTTTGGCTGTGTAGTAAAGATATTTTTTACTCTAAAATTAAGTACTTGTTTGGATTCGCGTAATTCATCCACATTTTTATGAATTTGATGCAGAAGTAAGTAATATTAATTTCTTATTTTCACATTTTTTATGCGAGTTAAGAGTTTTATGTTTAACATCTGAGGTTGCTACTAACATTCTTTTAATATTTTTAATTTCTCCAACATTCTTTTTAATTAATAGAAATTTATGTAAGTTCTACTAATTTGAAGAAAAAAATTGAGATCTACATAATCACTATACATTAATTTGTTTTAATAAATTAGAATATATCGAAATGATAATGTTAAAAAGTGTGTTCATGTTAATCACCCATAGCACAAACATGTTCTGTCGAAGTGAAAAAAAATATCGTTTGTAGGATTGATCAAAAAGAAAAAATGAGTGTAGAAAAAATAATTATAAATCGATCTTCCTAACTGTTATCCAACTTAATAAATGAAGAAAAAAATGGATATATTTATATTTTCAAAATATTAAATCTTCTTACTTTTACACCCATACTTTTGCATGTCTATCGGTTCTATTTTAATTCAAGTATCCAAGATTAAACATTTCCTTTTGTTAATAAGCTTAGAGTCGGCTTCAAATTGTTCCCAAATATAAATAATTAAATACAAGGACCTTGCATATCATTAATATATTTTATACTTAAATTAAAATAATATTTTAGTCTTATAATTTTAATTTTAATTTTTTTAATTTTTTTAGTCTTTATAATTTAAGATATATTTTTTAATTTTTTTTATTCTATATTAATATTTTTATAACGTTATTTATTTTGTGTGATGTAATAAAGATAATAATTTTATTTTATTTTATTTTCTAAATTTTGTGAGGATAAAATAATGTATCTCAACGATAAATATAATAAATGATAATAAAAAAACACAAGACATCAAGAAATTTAATTTTAAAGAACTCTTACAATAAATTTACCTTTATCACGTTAATAATAAAAAAATGACCACATAGACTAAAAGAATTAAAAAAATTATAAATATAAAATTTTGAAAAATATTCTAAATTAGAAGAATTTAAAAATATTAAAAGAGATAAGTAAATGAATTAAAAATATCTATTAAATAACTATGGAACTTTAAGCAATTTAACCTTATAAAAGTGTATTAGTATTTTTAAACCAAGAGTTGTCTGAAACCACAGCTGGGGCTGTGAATATTAAAGATTTTATGGTCTTCAAAAACATTGCCAGTGGTTGTATCACATTTGACCCTAGTTTTCCGCAACATTATTAAATTTTATTTTAAAAACTTTTGCAACCAACCATGATCCAGAACATATATAATTTAAAACTTGATTAAACTAGTAGTAATGTTTATAGAATAGAGCAAGTAAAGCATACCTGTGTTGCTGTGACACCGTTAATTTGAACCAATTGGCCTCCTTTTATCAGTTTGGGTGCCAAGTTGACTGGATTTGCACGCAGCTTTTCAATTTCCACCACTGGCCACTGCACCAACTGTTTACCAGATTTATGCAGCCAGATAGCCCTTGGAATTGCCTGAAAATAATATTACCCTTATTATTAAATATTGAGATAAGATTTCAATACTTATAAACAACATTGTATACAAGCTTGGTAAAAAATATAAACAAATTGTGGAACCTCACTCTCACATCATGGTATGAGCTGGTTCATGTTATTTTAAACCATATATCATAAAAAAGAAGAAGAAGAAATCTATGTTATTGAGCCTAGGGTCAACACTTGGTTGATTTGATCAAGTCTTGTCTTGATTGTAGAACATGGTGAGCAAATTTAGCAAACCAATAAAATATAACAATTCAAGAAATTGCAAACAACTTACGTGAATTCCAGACCATCCTTTCTTGATATCATCAGCAACACTAGAGGATTCGTTGACCCACCCAAGCAAAACCCTTCTCTTCTTCCCATCATCAAAGAAAGTTTTTGAGGCATAGTATTTCCCATAATCATATCTCAAAACAAATTCACTATTCAACCCCTCATCCGGGACAAACACATCCTTGGCAGCATTGTAACTCCCAATCATGTAGTAATCATGTTTCTTGTCATCCAAACTGACCTTAAGCACGTGGCTTACATAATCACCATTCACTGACGTGTCAACACCCAATTGGCCACTATTCAAAACAGGAAAAAAATCAGGGCACTCCCACATTCCACTTCCTAGGGTTGAATGCAAGGGGTGTTTGGCTTGAACCCAATTAAAGAAATCTTTGCTTATATACAAAAGTGCCATTCCCCTAGTCCTTCTCTTGCTCCCAACAAGCACTCTCCAATGTCCATCTTTTCCTAGCCAAGCAGTGGTGGGGTCCCTAAATGAACTTGAATTGATCTTGTTGGCACTAGTGGGTGCCATTAGAGGATTTTTTGGGGTCTTGACCCATTCCCTGAGAAATGGATCAGACAAGTTTTTGGGCTGGGCCAGGTTTTGGACCTGGTGGTTCATTGGGTCAATTCCAGTGTACAAAATGACGGGTTTGTTCCCATGAAGCAGTGTGGCTGATCCTGACCAACAACCATTGATATCGGACGGTTGAGATGGAAAGATGGCAGGATCCAGTGGGGCCCAGTTCACCAGATCCTTTGACACTGAATGGGCCCACACGATGTTTCCCCAAACTGCACCTTTAGGGTTGTATTGGTAGAACAGGTGATAAAGTCCTCCATATCTCAATGGCCCTAAAGACAATTTTTTTATTTTTCAGCCCAAAATCATAAGAGATGCTAAATTAATTAATAACACGTATCAATGTCATTATCAACTTGTGAATTCTTTAAACCTATCATTGGATTCAAATCATGACTCTTTTTCTACTCGTCTCTTTTTTTTATTTATTATTTTAATTGAAAAAATGGCACATAACTACTATTTCTCTCCTAATTATTATTTTTTTTTTTGTAGAAAATTGTTTTTTAGTTAGATACAAACATTTTGACTTCACTGTTATCTACGTGCATGCACCATCACGTTTATTATAAATTTATAATATTAAGAAAACCGGCCAAATGGAAGGAAACTTCTTAATCAATTAGATGCTCTCATTTTCTTTCACTATGGCTCGATCTATGCATAGGGATCTGCATCAAAATATTTACGTCATATTTTGATTTCCATAGGGAAGTGCCGTTTGTGAAACAGTGTAAATTTCTGCATTTTTTTTCATAGTTTTCTTATATTACATTTGAACAATATATCCAATCATTTTTAATTCCAGAAATTCTGAAATGGTTATTATTATTTGATATATTTTGTGAAATGAATAATGAGAATAGGGGAGTTATATATACTATACGACATGGATTGAATTAAACTGCAAAAAGAATGAGAGAAAAAAACTGAAGTGAGGGACATTGATAGGAGAAGTGAACTGACCATTGGGATCTGCATGCGAGTCCAAACACAAATGTCCATTTCATGATCATAACATGTCAAATGACAAAAAGAAGAAGCAAAAGAAGAAACCATTAGAGACATAAAGTATTGCAGAAAAGAAAATGAAAGAATAATAGAAAGAAACTAAGGAATAAAGGGTACCATTTATCCAATTCTTGGGGGGTTGGAAGTGATAGGCAGTTCTGTAAGGTTGATTGGAGGAATAATCAGAAGAAAGAGTCTGAAGATTTATGAAAAGGTGATGCGTGGCACCACTGCCATAAATCACAGAAAAGAGAGTCAAAAGGAAAATAGTAGAGATAGTCATCGTTGCTATGTGGGGGAAAGAAGGGGTGCTCACTCTATCTATTTATACCACAAGAAAATACGTTATTTGTAACGATTTCTTTACAACAATAAATGAGTTATTGGTAACGACAGTCATTTAGTAACAATATAAAAATTTTGTTATTATAGGAGTTTTTTTTGTTAACAAAATTAATATTGTTGCAAAAATTATGTGTTGTTAGAAAATATACTATTTTATGTCAACAATATTAATCTATAATTGTTAAGAAATAGTGTTAAAACATTATCATTAACAACAATATTTAAAATTGTCAAAAAAATTTTTTTGCAACAACACTTATCGTCACAACATGCAACAATTTTTTTTTTTTTTTGTTGAGAAATGTATTTTTTGGAATGACTATAATTTTTTTACAAGATAGATAATATTGGTTGTTGTGGTGGAATTTTGTGAATGGAACAAAAAATATAAATTAATCACTGCATGCCGAGTGATTTGTGTTACATTTATATAATTGTTGAGTGAAAATTCAAAAACATATTGACCCAGAAGCAATCCGGAAGCGGAAAACAAGTATTTTAATTTATACGCGTCAAAGTGTAAATAGTATAATTTAGTGTCAGAATTTTGAAGTCAACCATCCAATACCATAAGTTCCTTGGTTTTTTGAGGTACGGATGATAATAATATACCTAATTTTTAATTTTATTTTGAATAAGGATATTTCAGGTTAAGTTGAGAGCTACCGGTGTGTTTGATTTAAAGTTCCACTTGGAAAAAAAATGGTTGAAGGTGAAAGTAATAAAATGTTACTTTTTTATTTTGTGTTTTGGAAATGAAATGCACTTTTACAATAGGTAAATGGGTTCCTAAACATGGCTAAAATCTTGAATTAAGGTATTAAAATTTACTTATAGGAATCAAACACATTAAAGAAGCTTACAATATTCATACGCACCTTATTCAATCAATTGAGTTAAACTTTCTTGATAGGTATTGAAATTTCTTTAAATCAATAAAAGTTACTCTAGTTGATATGGACTAGATAGACAAACATCTTACTATAATGCAAGTTTGATTATTTTGCTACCATAATATAAGAAATTTATTGATAAATAATTTGTAAGACTTGAGATATATAGCATGATCTTAATGAATTTTCAGGACTCATATCATCTAAATATTTTTTTTTTTAAACCAATAGAAGGTTATTTTTTTTTATTATTATTAGATAGAAAATTGTCTATATATAAATACATGAAAAACAGATTTCTTATTACCAAATACAAAATTATTCGTCATACTAAGTCAATGATGTTATGCCAAGTTAATATATTATAATTATGATATGTAATTATATATATAGTGCATGAATTAAATTATTTAAGATTTTATTTTAGTTTAATTAGTAAGCTCAATTTAAATTTTGGATTTCAAATTTCAATGGAAGATACCTATAATTTTTTTATTAAAAAATATAAAAATAAGTATATTTAAATAAAAATATATTATATTGTGAACATATGATAAATAATTTATTTTATGATAAAGTTATTTTGTACTTCATTTGAACTTATATATAAGCAAAAAATACTTAAAATTTCTAGACCCAAATATAGAAAAATTTTAACAAATTAAGTCAACTATATTTAATGTTTCTAATTCAAAAATACCCTAAGATAATAAATGAAAACATTATCTACGTTAAATGTGATTAAGGATATTTTAGTAAATATAATGTATATTTTATATGAAATGGTGAAAATAAAATGGATTTAACTACCTCATTCAATTTGGATAAATTTAATTATATATATATATATAGATCTAGAGGGAGTAAAATATATAAATAAATAAAACTAAATATTTTTATTAAAAAAAATTCCTAAATATACCCTTTATTCGTTTGGGAAAAAATAAATTAAAAAGAAATAAATAAAAGAGAGATAGGATAAAAATACTAAATAGAGTAAAAAATATTTTTTTAATATAAATTATATGTTCCTTTTCACTCCATTTTTCACTCATTTATACTTATTTTTAAACAGGATAGGATATTATAATCATTTTTTGTTTCACATTTTTTAAACGATTTTATCTTTAAATTTTTAAATAACTTATATATAAAGGAAATACATAATTAAAATCATTTTTTCATCTCTATATTTTTTTTTTGACAATTTTACCTTTAAATTTTTAAAAAATATTAAAAATTAATCATCCTTATCAAATTTAAATTTAAAATCTTAAAACTTAATAATCAACCATAACATTAGATAGTACAATAAATATTGATAATTTGTTGACATCTTTATTAAATAAAATATAAAAATATAAAGTATTTTGAATTCAGTAATTCAAATAATGAAAGAAAAATTCTCATTCCTTTTTATTTATATTCGATTAGTACATAATTTTTTTCATTCCTTTTGTTTCTGTATTTCTATTATTCCTATTTATTATGCAACGGTCATCAAATGTTTATGATACATTAATTAATTATCCGTTGAAAATGTTATCGACAATTACATAACTGTCGATATTAATTTCTCTATCAATACAAGATAACTTGTTGTAATATACAAATAATCAAATTTAAATATGTGAGTATTATTTTTCTTATTACATTGGAACTACCGTGGTGGTTGACTTCATTAAAAATATATTAAAAGTAAAATTATCGATAGAAACTTCAAACTTGTATATGGGGCTGCTCCTCTATTTGCGTTAAGGGAACGTGCCATCCCATCCCTAGATTTCATGAATATAGGCTAGTCATCACCTGCTCTTACTCTTACGTAAACAACTACTAAAAGTCAAAATATAGAGGATAAGGAAATTTAAAAAATAATGGGTAATATTTCTATGCATGTAGCAAATTAATCGTATATCTGTTTGTTCACTCTCATTCCAAACCTTTGTGTGAGGGAAGTCAAGTGGTTATATCCTCCTCCAGGTGTATTCAAATTGAATATAGAGGATATATATATAGTTCAAATTGGCAACATGTATGTATTTAGAGGAAGTCACCATGAAGACACAACATGTATGAATCATAAATTTTTTAAAAAAATGAATTCCATATATTCTATAAAATTCTGATTAAAAAATATTATTAGAGGGAAAAAAATCCTCTAGAAGAAGTAATGGAAAAAATATATAATTAATTTTTAATAAAAAAATGAAAAATAAATAAATAAAGAGGAACAAAGAAAAAAAATTAGAGGGGAAGAAAAAAAAATTAAGACAAACAAACATTTTTGAAAAGAGAAACTAAAACAAAAGGGAGTAATGAAAAAGAATATAAAACATTTTTTTAACGAAAGAATGCAAAAATTAAAATAAAACTATTTATATTGGTGATATGATTCAAATATGGTAATTTATAAAAATAAATTTAAAATATTTTATAGGCTATCAATAAATCAAAACATGTGGATAAAAACAAAGAAAATTTTCCAAATGTAGTCAACATCTTGAGCATATCTATAATAATAATATAGTTTTACTAAACCATATACTGATATATGTACATGCACATTTTGTTTCAACCATGCATGAACGTGAGCTTCATTACGTTCTTCCACTACCTCACTTCATGTATATCCGTTTACACAAAGTCTGTAAGTTTCTCGTGACTTCCTCTCCCAAAATGATTAAAAGTTTTTATTTCCTGACTTCACTTCCACATCATTTTCAGTGAATCTTAATATATTGATGTATTTCAAAGTTATTAATTACCCTTGTTATTTTAAAAATAATATCATAAAAAAATGTTAGGAAAATGTATCATATAAACAATGTAATTCTTTTGTATATCAAGCAAGTTATTACACTATATTCAAAATATCAAAAGGACTAAGTATTTACAGCTCTGCAGCAGCATTGTTTGTTCTTTCGTTTTTTTAAGGAAATGCTACAAAAGTACGAGTTTCTAAGGGACAAATCCTGTATATAAGGTAAGAGCGTAATTTCTGTCAAATATATATATATATTTTTTAAATTAAACATCAAGACTATAAACATTTGATTTCGAATGATTTCATTCTAAATTGTTTCCTGCCACTGTATTTATTAACAAAATCTAACACAATTGATAAATAATTTAGTTCTTTTAAGTATTCAATTTCATGACCATACATATGAAAAGATTCTATTGGAAAATAAAAAAGAAAGAAAAACCCTTTAGTATCCTTTGTATTTTTTCTTCACGCAGCATTTCAAAATTCACAACTAATAATTAATTTGCGTAGAACACTTGTTTTTAACATAAACTTTATAATTATTAAGTCAAAAATCTTGATTTTTAGTGTCCTTTATAAATAAAGGAATTTGGTATACCCTTCTACTTTGGCCAATAATGCTATGCCACATGTATTAAATACAGGATTTTAATTTATTGGGGGTGTTTCATAGGTATCATCGTTACATTGGCAGGGGACTAATTTTCTAATCAGTAATCAGTGTTCATTTATATTAACATTTTAAAAATTAATTTTTGAGATTTTTTTATAAAAATCAGAATTTTTAAATAGCAATTATTTCCTATGACAAAAAAAAATGCAGCTAGAATTATAGACATTCTTATAAACATACATTTCACTCCCATAAAATGCAATTTACTTTTACTCCATTTTTCTTTGTATTTTTCATCAAATCATATATTATTTTTTTTCTCTTCTCTCTTGTGACTCTATCACTCTTCCCTTCACCTCAATCACACCCCAAAATTGGATGTGAATATTTAGAATTTCTATAAATTATTGATTGCATAGCATGAAGATAATGAAATTATCGATTCATTATATTTTTTTCTTTCGTAGTATCACTTCACAGTTCACACAATCAATTCGCAATTTATTTGATTAAAATCAAGTAGAAGCAGTCCAAGTGTCCAACCCACCCAAGTTTCCAAAAACATTGTATTGGGCTTCTTTTTACGTTCGTGCTCCTATCTATACGGATTAACTAGATAGGTATATTTTCATTTTGCATATTACTATTTGCACCAATCAATTTTACTTTCTACACCTCCTTTTTTTTTAAAAAAAAAAAAAAAACCCTTTTCATGATATTTGATTATTTCGTGATGGAAATTCTTTGGTTCAATTTAGCTTATAATGAGATTTTTAATAAGAACTTTTTTTATTAGTATTTTAAACTCTTGAAAATCATTTTATATATTCTCATTTTAACTCCTTAAGCTAGACTCGGCTACAATTGAAAGCCTTACATGTGTTTTTTTTGTGAATTGAAAGCCTTATATGACTGTCTTTATTTATTCTTTTTGATTTCTACATTGTTTTCCCGAATTGCTTTTTTCTTTTGCCTTTATTTTCATTAAAAGTGTTAAATTTACATGCCTAGAGGTCATGTTCAACATGTTATATACAATATATTTTTTTTATTCATTTTCCAAATAAGTCAAATGATTTAGTTGTTCCCGTGTTAGTGATAAAGTATGAACACCCAAAGATCAAATTCGAGCAAATCATCTTATGTGTGACTAAAAATATATAAGTAAACCAACCAAGTTAAGCATTTTAGAAAACTTGTATGCAATAGTGATAGTTCATCCCACAATTAATTATTAATGGTACTACACCGATATTGTGTTGGTATTTTTATGTTTTAGGAATAGAAATAGAGACTTTGAGTAATATATGCTTACGTATCATATCATACTGGTAGACCCTGCAAGAAATTGTGAACCAAAAACTTAAAAAGATGGATTTCTTAATACAATGGAATAAAATAAATAAAAGAAGCATACAAAACTTTAACAAAATAGTGGATGTAGAAACAATATAGTTTTTAACCCAAAACTAGGAAGAGAATTTTGTTGGGCAATTACGATTACGACTTTCACGATAAGCATATAACTTTATGAGTTATGCACAGTCTTGTTTTAATTTAGAATGTTCATTCTCACATTAAAAATGTTGTTCTTACAATATATTCTATCTCTCTTCACATATTCATATAAATATAAAGACACATATGCTCTTATTCAAAAATAAGTTTTAATAGATTTATTTTACTCAATAATTTATATTTTATATTAAATTTAAATAATTCAATCATTGAATTAAAAAATTTAATATATAGATTAATTTTACAAATTTCTAAAAAAATTAAAAATAAATGATACTTTATTATATAAACTTAAATCAACGTAAAAAAATATTTGTGTGTTTATCTATTAATTTAAATTAATAAAACGAGGTATAAAATTTTTTTCAAATTTTTAAAAATTTTGTAGACTTGATTTATATATTAAAAAAATTTAATTTAATAGTTCGATCGTTGAAATTTGATATAAAATATGAGTTATTGAGTGAAGTAAGTTTACCAAGATTTACGGTTGGAATAAGTGAATATATATATACACACACACACATATATAAAAGGATAAAATAATATTGGTGTAACTTTTTATTACACCGCTGAATAACTTTCAATTAAATGATTATTTTTCGGCAAAATATCTATTTTGGTCCCTTATAATCTTTTTTTGTTTCAATGTAGTCCCGCTTTTATTTTTTGTCTCAATTTGGTCCAAAACTAATTAATTGGTTTCAATTTGGTTCTTAATAAATTAATTGGTTTCAATGTGGGACTTCTGTCCAAATTTCTTTAACGGGGTTAACTATTGGCCACGTGGATGCCACCTAGATGCATAGGTGGATGCTACGTGGATGCCACGTGGATGAATTTTTTTTTTAAAACACCTAGAACCAGAACGACCCGTTCTGAAACCAGAACGATCCGTTCTGAAACCAGAACGGGCCGTTCTGAAACCATAACGGGCCGTTCTGGATGCGCTTTCGGTCTGTTAATTTTGCATCGGAAACGGGCCGTTCCAAATGCGAAATTTACACACCAAGAGTACACCAGAACGGCCCATTCTGAAATCAGAACGATCGCAAAGTAAATGGTTGTGCAATGTGTTAATTTTGAAGCTGGACAAGTGTACTCTACCATATGCAATTCCATCTAGTATTCTTACTTGTTTGAAGAACTTAAGAGAGTTGGAAGTACGGGATTCTGACAAAGTAGTTTCCTCGTGTCATCATTTGACAACATTAGTACATTCAGCAGTGTCATTCTGCAATCTAAAACAACTTTCTGTAAAAGATTGCCATGGATTGAAGCATTTATTTACATCCTCGGCTGCAAGAAAGTTAGTGCACCTTGAAGAGATGTACATAGTGCAATGTGAATCAATGGAAGAAATATTGGCAGAAGAGCAAGAGGAAACTACTTCAGGAGCAATAAAATTTGAGCGACTCAGCACAATAATTCTAGATTCTTTATCAAGCTTGTTATGTTTTTATTCAGGCAGTAGCACTCTGCTATTATCAACTCTGATAAGAGTGCTCATTTGGAAATGCCCCAACATGAAGACTTTCTCCCGAGGAGACATACATGCAGAATCCTTTCTGGGAATTCAGGGCTCATTAGATACAAAGGAAAAATTGATCTTCCACCAAGATCTTAACTCCACTGTGGAGCAGATGTTCCAACAGCAAGTAAGAACTTTGAATCAATTGATTATCACTCAAGTTATTTTGTGAAGTTAATGATTTTAATTAAAATTTTGTTCTTGTATTTTAAGTATATTTTTAAATAAGTAAAATTAAAAAACAAGTTCAATAGTGTGAATTTTTTTATACCATTAACTAATAAAAAAATCACTGTTAAAATCATTTTCAAGATAATAATTATAAAAGTTGACAAACTTGCTATACATAATGGTTTGTGATTGGATAACAAGTGCTTAGACTATTTTCTCGTTAAAAATGTTTTCTGATTTTACATTAAAAAAATTTATGTTGACAATGCATCACAATTAAACTAAGCAAATAAACCAAGTCTCATAAGAATTTAATTTATATGCATCGTCAATGTAATTATGTAAAACCTTTTTATACAATGCATATATATTAAAGTCCGGCTTAAAGTTTTGCACTATATCCCGAAGGCACAGAAAAACAATTATATTAATACAAAAACAGGACACTACCCGTCAACAGAAGAAAAGGTAAAAAAAAGGCAAAAATACACATAACAAAAACACCCAAATTATTTGCAACATAAATTCCACTCTATTACCTTTTGTTACTTCCTCTAGATTTTCCTCTCAATTTAAAGATGCTAAAATATTGAAAAGCAATGTAAATTTGTAACTTTGTTTAAAGGCACACATGGTCACGCGGAGCAAGCAATGGATATGATATATCTGACGATAAAATTATTGTTTATAGGAACTTTTTAAAGCCATAGACAAGGAGTGTTTTTCTGATTATCATGAGCTAGGAGCATGCTGGGATGGTGAAGTTGTTTCGCAAAGTAAATGGTTGTGCAATGTGTTAATTTTGAAGCTGGACAAGTGTACTCTACCATATGCAATTCCATCTAGTATTCTTACTTGTTTGAAGAACTTAAGAGAGTTGGAAGTACGGGATTCTGACAAAGTAAAATTCAGTGTTTGAAATGTTTTGTACCTTGGGTCTTTTTCTTTCCATGATTCATAATCGTGAACTATAATCATTGATCGTTCATGTTTAGCAGTCTGAAACTAGAACGGCCCGTTCTGAAACAAGAACGGGCCGTTCTGGTTCCAGGTGTTTTCAAAAAATTGGCATCCACGTGACATCTACGTGGCATCCACCTATGCATCCACGTGACATCCACGTGGCATCCACCTATGCAACAGTTAACTCCGTTAAAGAAATTTGGACGGAAGTCCCACATTGAAACCAATTAATTTATTAGGGACTAAATTGAAACTAATTAATTAGTTTGGGACCAAATTGAGACCAAAAATAAAAGTGGGACTACATTGAAACAAAAAAAGATTATAAGGGACCAAAATAGGTATTTAGCCTTATTTTTCTAAACTTACCTATTGATTGAAAGTTCTTTAATTATAGATCATATATACAAAACTTTATATTAATTCATAATAATTTGATATCTCATTCATATATGTAGCAACCTCGGTCGCGACGGGACGGCGAAAAATAAATTGAAAAAGAGGAGTCGCCACCAATGTTATTTTTTACGGAAAAACATTGGAAAAACCATAAAGTAGAAAATAGTCTACGAAAACCAAACTTTTGAGTTCGGGAGTCGATTACGTATGAGGAAGGTATTAGCACCTCACAACGTTCGTCCTAAGACGATTACCTTTAATTAATTAAACTAATCATTTATAATTTATAAAATATTTATCTCACTAAAATTATCAAATATATTTTATTTAACTAATTTAAATTATGCATTGAAAAAAAGGTTAAAATTATTATTGTTATATAAAAAGGAGGATAATATATTTTTTTATTTTTTGGCTCGACAAGATTTAGTTCTTGCTCCTACGTATCTTCATGTGTAATGAAGAATCAGAGTCACGTAGTTCTTTGTAGAAAATGTTTGTGTGTTGATATTTTTTATTTAAATTTATTTTTGTTAAATATAGGATTCTTGAACTGTCGCAGCTCATTCATCTTAAAAATATAAAATTGACTAAGGTGTACACCAAAGTCAATTCAATAAAATTTTAATTATAATTATTGCTAGAGATGTTATGATGTAAAAAAAATTTCTTGGTTGAACATTTTTGTTTTTGGAGGAAAAACTTAAAGATAAGCTGTCACAACTTGTACTTTAAATTCAAAGGTTAAAAAGATGTCACATCTAATTAACCATTCCTCCAATAAAATTTTTGATACAATAATTTCAGATATTTACATTAAATATTGTAACACTATATTTTGATATTTAATCACATTTTGAATATAAATAAGAACTAATAGCAGATATTACTAATATAAAAATAAATTAATAAATAAATAAATAAAAAGAAATGAATTTAATATACTCACAATTCTTCGCTACAGAAGTGGGTCTCCTTCTCTGGGTTCCCTCTGGTCCAAGGTGGAGATGTGTGTGGGAAGGGTGTGTGTGGGTGCCCTTTGGGAAGGCAATGGGCGCTATTTATAGACTTTCTGGAGGGACCGGAACGGCCCGTTCTGAATCCGGAACGTCCCGTTTCGGGGTTGCAATTTTACTCACAACGACCATTTTCGGAACGGGCTATTCCAATTTCAGAACGGCTTGTTCTGGACCAAAATTTTTAGGTATTTTGGTAGTTCGAGAATGGCCCATTCTGGGCTAAAAATTACAGGTCCTTTTTTTAGGTTGGAACGGCCCGTTCCAGTTTCTGGGAACAGCCCGTTCTGGGCTAGAATTTATAAGTCTTTTTGGATGGTTGGAACGGCCAGTTCCAGTTTTGGAACAGCCCGTTCCGGACTAGAAATTTCAAGGCTTTTTGTAAGGTTGGAACGACCCATTCCAGTTTTGGAACGGCCCGTTCTGGGCTAGAAATTTTAAGATTTTTTGGAAGGTTGGAACGACCCGTTCTGGACTTCTGAAATCATATGAAAATTACTAAATTACCCCCCCATAAAAATATAAAAAAATGAGGCGTTACAATTGGCTTCTATATTTTTTGTCTTTTTTATTCTTTCTTGTATATACCTTTTTTGCTATTTTTTTAACAAAATTGACATTTCCCGGACGAAGTTCTGAAATCATATGAAAATTACTAAATTACCCCCCATAAAAATATAAAAAAAAATGAGGCATTACAATTGGCTTCCATATTTTTGTCTTTTTTATTCTTTCTTGTATATACCTTTTTTGCTATTTTTTTTTAAACAAAATTGACATTTTCCTGACGAAATTGGGTTACTACAATATAGATCAAAATTGACGTAATATATACATTTTAAAATATACTAAAATATGAATACTTTGATTTCTTTCAAAATTTTCAATTTTAACAAAAAATTGACATAAACATATAAAGTGATATGAAGTTATAATTCATTTATTAGATTGACAAAATTCACATTTAATTTAAAGTTATTGAGTAGTGTAATAATTGATAAAAGTTACATTGATACCACACACACATATGTAGAGGGAGGGGGGAGTAGGAATCAAATTACTACAAGACTCTTGGGAAAGTTGCTCCACAATAACTCGTGATGTATGTTAAATTTCAACATCCAACATTTAAAATAAAAGTTATTAATGCACGGATAAATTCAAAAACTTTTTAAATTTTTCGAAAGTTATTTAACACTTTGTTTCATTAATTCAAATTAAAGGGTAATTATAAAAATATTTTATACCTTTATTTTATTCTATATAAAGATATATCATATGACTTTCAATTTAAAAAAAATTACATTTAATCTATACATTAAAATTTTTAATTTAATAGTTGATCATTGAAATTCAACATACACCAATAATTATTTAGTAGAGTAACTTTACCAAGAAATATTGTTGGAGTAATTTGATCAACATATAAAATATTTTTATAATTATTCATCAATTTGAACTAATGAAATAGGGTATCAAATAACTCTCAAAACTTTTAAAAATTTGCAGACTTGATCTATACGTTAAGAACTTTCGATTTAACGGTTAGATCGTTAAAATTTAGTGTAGAACTTGAGTTATTGAGTGAAGTACGTTAAGATAGACTTATTCTTCGAGTAAATAGATACCTCTTCATATATTGATACTATTTGATATATATATATATATATATATATATTAATTAGAAGAATGGAAACGCAATGAAATAGCCAAATAGAATGCATGCATTAAATAAGTGTGTGACAAATAAAGTAATGCTGCATTTTACACCATCAATACCAAT